GTATGTGGGATCCGAACCCTCGACGGGAGCGCCGCCGCGCTTCCCAAGCGGCGCACTAGTGTGTGAAGTCTTTTTTAAAAGACCATTTCACAGCATTCCTGTTACAGAGTTTAGGAATTCTGCTTTTGAAAATAGCTTATTTGTTATTTTTTTTCTAATTGCAGTTTTTCCACTACTCCCAAGGGCAAGTATACCTGGGGAATTATCCACCATTTAAGAACAGAATCAGCTGGGCTGGAGACCTTGACAAGAAAGATGCATCAATCAACATAGAAAATATGCAATTTATACACAATGGCACCTATATCTGTGATGTCAAAAACCCTCCTGACATTGTTGTCCAGCCTGGGCACATTAGGCTCTATGTCATAGAAAAAGGTACTTCCTTGAGTATTTTTGCAGTAATGATACCGTCCCCTTTATCTCATGTTTAGTTGGAGAAATAAATAAGAGTTATATTTCAAGGTGTGTTTGAAGGGAGTGTTTTTGCCATACAGTTGTGCTCCCTGATTTGATTTCAGGAGTATTAATTTTTCAGTGTTAATTAGAAGGAAAACCAAATTTGTTATGGTTAGATGCAGTGAGCAGTGGGAAAGAAAGAGATTAATACTGCTTTGATATTTTCCAGGAGAAAGTTTTGACAGTTCCAAAAACAGTACAGTAATTTCTTCCCTTTTTTGAGAACAAGCAGGAAATGCGGGTTCTGGTGTCTCACTCTGAGACAAAGTCTGCTTTGTTGGAGAGTGGATTGAAGTATATTCACATCTCCAGTTTTTCTTTGATATTAGAGCATTGAGAGGGATTGTGGGTGTAGAAATGCTTAGCTCTGTAGTTCATGTTTGTATGTCATCAGTTAGATACTAGGATCTCATAATTTGGATAATAAAAGAGGGTATGGTAACCGCTAAAGGAAGACACCTGCTTTTTAATTTAATAAAATTTTATTCCTTCTCTCTGTAGCAATGCACCTTAACTCTTTTGTTCTTTCTCTCTAGAGAGTTTGCCTGTGTTTCCAGTTGGGGCGGTGGTAGGTATAGTCATTGCTGTGGTGCTGGGTCTCACTCTGCTCATCAGCATGATTCTGGCCATCGTCCATAGAAAGAAAAACTCAAAACGGGATTACACTGGGTAAGAAACACTGTTTTTGAGGGGAGGAGTGAAGGGAAGGAATTAAGGTTTATAAAAACCTTAATTTTTTAAGGAAAAAGGATGGTGAAGAATTAGCTACTGTTTGCTTTCGTGTCAGCATTGGGCAGTCTCCTTCGGAGATGTTCTGACATGGGCAAGCAGAAATCAGTGGCCTGCTATCAAACGTGGAATATGATACTAATCCCTGTTCTACAGTTTCCTTCTTAGGTTTGGTGAAATGAACTCAACAGTCTGTGTTCTGTGTTTCAGTACCATCCAGTCTACAATTAGTATTCTTAAGCCACAGACGTGTTTAAGTTTAATTTGAATTTCTTGACAGTCATCTCATAAGATGTTCTTTTCAGTTGGGTAACTATAAAGCCCTAATCAAGAAGTTAATTCAAGAAGAATAAACTACCCCCACCTCCAGCCCAACGTGATGATGTGACAATGCAGGGCTTTTCCTTTTTATAGTTCCCTCACCACCCGCCCACCCCCCCAAGAATAAGCAGTCTTGTTGCTTTGATTATTCTTTTGGATTCACCCAAACTGGGATATTAACAGTTGACAATAAAATATACCAGCAATAAAGAAAAGTAGACTGTCTTTTTTGTTTAGGGATTCTCAAAAGGAACACATTTGAGCATAGGGTATGTGTTTAATTGAAGGACCTTCTCTTTTCCCCACTCCAGCTGGAGAGCTAACGCATATAAGCTATGTAGAACTCATGTGGTAAGACTGGGAGTGAGGGCTGAATTCGAGTTGATATAGCACGGGCAGTGTCACAGGTGCACGGATCTAACTTTAACCGTCCTGAAGGGACTGTGATTTGAGAGGAGTGCATGCCCTGAACTCTCTTGCTGGTGGATGGTGGGAACCTCTGTCTATGAGCTCTGCTGATCTAGAGTTTTTAAGAGTGCTGTGTTTTAACAAGTTTGAGTGTTCAAATTCAGATATTAATTGCTTGGAATGCTTCTACTCTGCTGACTGTATCTGCCCCCTTGCATGGTGATGGTGAGTGTTTCGTGAATAAATATTGCTGGATTGTTGGTTTTCAACATGAGACTAATCCAGGGTGGTGTCATGCCTATCTTTGTAGTTCCTGTTTTTGGGTTAATAAAGGGACAGGAAAGTGTTCCTTAGAGTCCTGCATGGCATGATGAATGCTGCTATTCTTACTTTGGTTTTTTTCCCCCTACCCTGCCTTTTCTTCCTTGGTGTGCTGGGATCAGATCCTGCTTATCTTCCACTTCTTAAGAAAAGCTGACATAGAAGACACACTGGGACTATAACAGGGCTGGGTCTCCTCTTCCACTCCCACTAGACACATGGTAACTAATCACATTGCCCGTTGTTGTTAATATTCATGTGTACATATTCAGCCCATCTCCCTTGTTGACAACTAACCAGCTAGCTCTTAGCTAACCCAACAGCTATTATGGTTTGTCCACAAATGTGTCATGTGTTTGTATTAGAAACATGTTGAGCATACCATCTGGATGAAGTTGGGTTGTCCGTTTACATGGAGGTTTTATGGTCATCTGAATATATATGCTCTTCATGTAAAATACCTGTGTGTGTGTGTGTACTGTTTGTGTGTTAGTTTTTGCTTTTCATACATGAATTGTATTATCAGTGATTGAGACCCTCTTTGTGTTAGAATAATCAAACCATTCTTATTTTATTTTATTTTTTTTCATTTTTCTTTTTTGGTGGTGGCTGGTATAGGGATCCAAACCCCTGACTTTGATGTTACAGGATGGCACTCTGACCAACTGAGCTAACCAACCAGCCCAATCAAACCATTTTGGTATGGGGCATGTAGGCTCGCATTTCAGAGAAGGCAGAGTTTGCAGAATGCATGGTATACTTTGGTTTTAGTAATGCCACTTTAAAGGTGATCCTCCTCAAATTCCTCTGATTTTTAAATATATATAACATAAAGGATTAAACCTATACTGATACCACATCTCATTAGGAAATCCGTAATGAGTTACTTCTTGCCATTCAATTTTCCCTGATTTATTTATGAGATAGTACTTGTTAAAGCACTATGCCCCTGAAAAAGTTCAGCCTGTGTGATGTGGCATTCCATAATTTCTCATCATTCATGACTTCCTGGGAGGTTTTTGGTTTAGTTGTGGAATTGGTAGTGAAATAAAATATGGGGATGTAGGGGATGGAAGGAATGAGATGAGCCAAGACTACAAGCCTGGATGTATATCTGTAATTTTTAAAATACATTCAGAAGAGGTTTTCCTTTGATGATAACAAAAGGGAATAGCCTTTAAGCCATTAAGAAGGTATAGCTCACTTCCTTAAACCTTTATCCCAAAGGAATGTTGAGGGCAAGGGGAAAAGACAATGCAGCAGCAAAAGGATAAATGTGTACAGTGACCAAAATCTCAATACCATATGTAAACTGCGGTGAAGAGGTTGTGCCACATTGGTTTCTGTGCCTCCCCCACTGATAGGTTCACTGACTTAGAAGAATGAGTGAGGGATAGAGAAGTTTTAAGATATGTGATCATTTGACACCCATTTTTTTGTTGTCATTTGTTTTTATACATTTGCTGCTTCATCTTGCCATCACTTGCATTTCTATATTTTTGTTTCCATTTATTTTAATTTTTTTTTTTTTTTTTTTCATTTGTTCTCCAAATTGCCAATTCATCAACTGCAGTGCGTCAGAGAGTTTGTCACCGATTAAGCAGGCTCCACGGAAGTCCCCCTCCAACACAGAGGGTCTAGTAAAGAGTCTGCCTTCTGGATCTCACCAGGTAATGGCTGATTCCAATCCTGCCACTGCACTATGCTCTGCAGTTTAGTGCTCTGTCACTTCTTTGGGTACAGGAAAGAAAACTGAGCTGTGTAAGAGAGAGAAACAGAGAAAGGGAGGGAGAGGGCAATTAAAGGACTGGTCTAGGAAGAACACAAGAAAATGTGTGGAGAAGAATCTGACCCAAGTAAATGTTGCCACCAAACAACCACTAACATATAGTTTACTAATAGTGTGGCTCCTTTAGCCCAAGTAGAATTAGGAAATGGCTTTGTCAGATGTGAAAGATTCTTCTTTAATTGCCCAAGGAAATAAATCTAGTGAACTAGATTCTATATTGAGATACTCTATAAGACAAGGAATCAGCAGGAAAAAGTTGATATTATTCTTATTGATAGTAAAAGAGGAAATTATTTTCTATGGATACTTTAGAAAAAATTGAAAGTAAGTGTTTGTTTGAATAGTTAATAGGCTTGGTGAACAAAAAATGGTTTTGGTTTCTTCTTCTGTAGAAAGTACAGAAGAAAAATAACTTTTATTTGGAATTTATCACAGAATCTAACATTGTGGTTAATATTGTGTTTTGGCTATGCTATTTTAACTATAACTGTGGCATGGCAGAAATTTCATAGTTTAGTACCGATTTGGTTCTTCTGGGATAGAAAGTATTCTCAGGAATTCAGCCAGTCATAGCTTTGCCCTGTTTTGTTAAGGAAACATCCATAGTCTTATTCCACAGTTGTTAAATGTGGTAAGGAAACTGTTATATTGGTGAGGAAACTGAGGCATTGTAATGTTAAGTTACTAAAAGCACATACCCAATTAGTGACTGAATTGGGGCTAGAACCCAGGTTACTAGACAGCATGTTCTCTACCACAGCATCAGGCTCATTACTTGTTCCTATTCTGTCTGTCTGTCTCTCGAATTACATAATATGCCTCAGATACCGCAGTCCACTGATTTGGATTGTGAATGGGAATAGGGTTGTGAGTGATGGCATGAGATTTACAAATAGGCATAACATCTGAAGAAGCCTTAGAAAATTTTTCTTCTGCTCTTGAAGTGCTAGGGGAGTTACTCTCCTGCTGAAAACAAACTAGAAAAAAAAGCAAAGAAAAGTAGTTTTCAAGACATTGGAAAACAGATTGTGCAGCACTGTGATCTCTGAAAGAATGGGAAAAAATAAGGTGAGACTTATGATTGCCTCAGTTTACTGCCTTGAGACAGTTTCCAGACTGCAGTGCAAGGAGGGGAAATGGGAACAGCACAGCAGACTCACTGAATTGAGGAGGGAGAAATCAAGTTGAGGAGGCCAAGTTAGCTAGGATTTATGAGGGATAGAAGCAGAGAAGAAGAAATGATGGTGTGTGTCGGGGTAGGGGGCGGGGAGGGAGGGAGAGGGAGGGAGCACCTGCGCATACACACAAGCACTTCAGAGATTTGGAGTGGGGTCCCCTTGAGTCTTTGGCTGAGTATAGATTTATGCATGTGGGAGAAAACTCTGAGACCAGGGAAAGAACCACCTGAAAGCAGGAGTTTGCACAATGCCTGGAGTTCATACCAGGCTGAGAATAGTTTATGTTCCTAAAAGCCAGAGTGAGGAGACTCCTAATACACACAGGACATTGGTTGGCGTGCTCAGAATGGTCGGTCATGCCTTAGTAGAGGGGCTAAATTAGCACCAGAATAAAGGATGCTATGGACCCAACATAGTAAAGTTTAAAAGGAAGCCTTTGAAGAATCAAACTAATCCAAAAGTAATTTAGCTGCATGCCACAACAAACTCCAACACCCTTTACAAGAATACAATGCAATCTAGCACCTACCTAAAAATGTAAGTTTTGCAATGTCTGGCACCAATCAAAGATTACTAGGTGTACAAAGGAGTGGGAAAAAGAGACACATAACCAGGAAAAATCGATCAATAGAAACAAACCTGGAAATGACAGAGGTGATGGAATTCATAAACAAAGATATTAAGTAAGTATTATAATCTTATAAATAAACATAAGGATGTAAAGGAAAGGTTGAACATAATAAGAAAAGAAATAGATGTATAAAACAGTCCAAAATGGAACTTATAGACATTAAAAAAAAAAAAAATTTGGATAGCATTAACAACACCTTAGACACTGCAGAAGCAAAGATCAGTGAACTTGAAGACCTAGCAGTAGAAACTATCGAAAATGAATCATGAAGGGAAAGAAAGACTGGGAGGAAAGTTCAGCAGAGCTTTATTCAGTGAGCCAGTAGATAATACCAAGCAATCTAATTAGCATCTGATAAGGAAAGTGGAAAGAAAAAAAATACTTAAAGAAATAGCCAAAATTTTTATAAATTTGATGAAAAACAAACCCACAAATACAAATTCAACAAACCCTAAGTAGAAGAAACAAAGAAAACCACACTAAGGCACATCATAATCAAATTGCTTAAGACAACTAATAAAGAAAAATCTTAAAAGTTGTCAGGAAAAAAAGAGGCATTATAGAGGAGCAAAGATAGGTGCAACATCAGACTTCTTTTCAGAAATCAAACAGGCCAGAAGACAATGGAATCAGGATTTTTGGACTGCTGAAGAAAAAAAATGATCAAGGTAGAATTCTGGGCCTAGCAAAAATATTTTTCAAACATGAAAACAAAACAAAAAGCTGACGGAATTCATCACCAGCAGACATACTGTATAAGAAATGTCAAAGGAAGTTCTTCAAGCAGAAGGAAAGGGACACCAGATGAAAATTTGTATCTATACAAAGGAATGGAGAGCACCAGTAATGGTAAATAAGTGCAAAATATGAAGGATTTTTTTTCACAAT